CTCCCTTGCTCCACTAAAACATATTGCCATCAATCCATAAAGGCGATCCTAACATTGAAGCAATTCTCGCCACATTGTCTTCATCCCAACAAAGCAATGATAGATGAGGCATCCTTACCCAAATAAGTGAAGTTAGACCTTTCAAAGAGGAAGAGGAAAATTCAAGAGTCCATTTATTAATGCCCACTATATGGCCGTTCACAAACCACGGACCTCCCTTTAACAACCTTTCCACAGTTTCCAAAGAAGAGAATGAGCAAAGGACCAAGCCTAAACCAAGGATATTTAAATAAAATGTTCCAAACTGCAGCCATTGTCAATGAAGTTCAATGGCTATCATGTGAATAGGCACATCCTTCCCAAAAACCTTTACCACGACAGAAAACTATAACTTTTCTGAATTTTCTTTGACATTAGATTCATTCAACTTGACAGCCACTCCATATTCAGAAAGAATAGATTCTTCCCTCAACATGTTGATCTTAATATTAGGCCATCTATTCTATGGGTTACTAATAACCTTATCAGGTAAAACTCCATGATCCATCAGAACTGTTGATGGCAAGTTATCAACTAATTTTTTTCCCTTGAGCATTCGAACAAACAACTGATGGCTTATCCAAATCCACATTATTATTAGAAACTTCCTTCCCAAGAATACAAGATTTAGCTATGTTATTACTAAACCTGTTAACGATGAGTTTCATACCCGGTGACGAAGAAGCCTCAAAATCATTCAAACTCTTAGGAGGAGTGAAACAATTAGAAGGACGAGGAGCCTTACTCGCCAACCCTTTAACAATCTATTTACCTTTTCCAAGAACATGGGACGTCTTCTTAACAGGAACAAACAAGGGTTCATTGATCTTCAAAGGAGCAATCTTGACAGAATCAATAAGGTTATCACTAGGGGAGAGGGATCAAAAGGATGAACTCTCAAAGGAATTTCCACGACCAGTATTAGCCACCGCCGCCTCTAACATCATCAACGAAAATTCCGCCAAAATAACATAATAGTAAAAATTTGAAAAAAAAAAGGATTTTCTCTCTCAACAAACTAGGAGCTTCTCTCTATAGTAAGAAGATTTATTTCAAAAACTTTATTTATTTCTAGTCATTAATAAACTAACATGATCAAACAATGGTTTATATGCATTTAGCTCGTCAAGAAAATGAGCTCAAAAAATTGTTTAATATCATATCGCTTAATGAACAAGTCAAATACGAGCTATTTATGAATGACAAGCTTTTTTTTATGATCCTAACCGAAGTACGTCCATGCACAAAACTTAGGCTTCATTTGGGCCAGCTTTCTTACTGCTTCTTAAAGTAGCTTTTTAGTAAAAAAAATTTATTTTTGTACTAAAATAATTGGTTTAAAAGCAACAAAAAAAGCCGTCTCAAACGAGGCCTTAATTTTCATTGAGAAATTCAATTGATAATTTTAAGTATAGAAGATGATGATGATGAATAAGATTATAGTCAAGGAATTGATAATCAAATTTTGTGGAACCAAAATATCATTTTACATTTGTTTCATTGTCCCAATTCATTTTGTTCTAAGCAAAATCCTAACTCAAGAACAACTTTTGTTTACCTAAAAATTCTAGTTCTTGTGGTCCTCCGTACCACCACCATCACAACCACTATTGTTCCATTCCTCGACATAATACTTATTTTTTATGATTTATGTTGTATATGTGTGATGCACGTAGAAGAGGAACCAGCCTCTTTTTTAAGAATGAGCAAAATAGGTTTATAAAATACATAATTTTATGTATGAAATAGAATTTTTTTTTACAACTTAATCAACTGCAATTATTGAAGGTGGACAAAATAATAAAAATGCTTATTCTTCTAAGAAAAAAAATAAAATTTCACAGTTAGCATTTGCCCACCTTGAGTTCTTCTTGGTTCCATGCACGTAAATTTGTACAAGCCAAATGGCATATTTTATGTGATGAACACCCTTGTGCTTAGGATTGTTTTGCAAAATAATTAAATTTTAGCAAATAACTTTTTGTTTTTTGCACTATACAATTCTACTAAATTTTAAGCTGCGCATAATTGTGTTCAAGCTTTTTTATTTTTATTTTTCATGTTTAAAAACAATCGTGCTGAACCCTTTCAACTAAAAAATGTTTTTTTTTTTAAGAAAGGTAATCTAAATTCGGCGTTATATAAATTTATATGCATCCCTTTGAACTTTATTTAAGATATATACAAAGCTATGTATAATAATTTTTTCATAAGCTCTTTCATCCTTTGTATTGTACATAAAAATGCGCAACGTTTTAAACTTAAAGGATAGACACAATTACATTGAAGTATTTTGTGCCTGCTTCTTTTATGATGTGTATAATTGCATAAAGAGTTTTAGGCTTTGTTTGAGGAGAGATTATTCTGTGCGGATGCCGAACACATCTCTACATCTGGATATCAATCAAAATGAGTCACGTCAGCTACACCGAGCCGTGATACCGAGCGGTATAGAGCCGCGGGCTTAGGCATCTGGGCGAGTTCCACTTCTGCGTAGAATATTTTTTCTTGTTTGAGACAGCTTTCTTATTTCTTTCTAAAACGATTTTCTAGTACACAAAATTCTAATTCAAAAAATTTTTGTATAAAAAATTGCTTTAGAAAGAAACAAAAAAGCTGTTCCAAACCAAGCTTTAAACTCAATTTTAAAGTTACACACATTTTTTACAACATTCTTCAATTTTTTTTTTTAATATACAAAATTGTTTATAAGCCCTAAATCATATTAAATATTGATGTTGTGTACAATTCAAGTTAGGGTTTATACATAGCTATGTATCAACATTTATTTGACAAAATCATCTATGTTTTGATGTATTTAGTTATATATAAATATAATCCTCCTAAACTCAAATGAAAGATTACATACAATTGTCATTTTTTCTTGCTATAAATTAAGGAATGCATATGATTATCCACATGTATTGTTTCATGATGATTTTTCATTTTTATATAATAGACATAGACTTCATTTGAGGCAATATCTTACTACTACTGTTTTGTTATTTTCGAGAAATTTTTGTACTAAAAAGCTACTTATAAAATAGTGAGAAAACTATCCCAAACAAAATTACAGTTATGTGTAGCCTTATAAATTCGACGTAAATAATGTACACAATTACGCACCAATATTTTATAGCAAGTTTTCATTTTAGTATTGAACATAATTGTGTATAACCTCGACACTCAAATTTAAGATATAATTATATATATGCATTTTTTTTAATTATTCATTTTTTTTTGTATTATACATAATTGTGTATAATCCTCTATACTCAAATTATTAATTTAATATAGCTGTCTTCTTAGTGCATTTTTTGGTAAGTTTGTCTAATTTTTATATTGCATATAGTAAGAAAAAAAAAGAAAAAAAAAGAAAAAAAAGAAAAAAAAAAGAAAAAAAAAAAAAAAAAAAAAAAAAAAAAAAAAAAAAAAAAAAAAAAGAAAAAAAAAAAAAAAAAAAAAAGAAGAAAAAAAAGAAAAAAAAAAGCAAAAAAAGAAAAAAAAAACCATATAAAATTTTAAAATAAAATTAAGCCTTATACATAGTTATGGCTAATTATTTTTAGACATGTTCATCTACAGTTTTTTGTAATGCACATAATCATATATAATCTTATAAACTCAAATTAAAAATTGTACGCAACTATATACAAGTAATTTTTTTTGACAATTTTGTTAATTGTGTTATGCACATGCATGCCAAGATGTGCATAAGGATGTCTAGGTGAATTAGTGGTTTTACTCTTAAAGACAGGATGCAAAATAAGCATATACGTGAAAAGGTTGGAGTAGCTCCAGTAAAAAATAAGATTAGGAGAGTCGCCTTAGATGGTTTGTACTCGGGGTAATGCTGAATTTTAAGTAAAATATGGGACTATTTGGTTGGCTGAAAATTAAGTGCAATATAAAAAGAATACAGTCTAAAAAAAATGCAATATAAAAAAATGCTTTGGAATTATTTGGATGAATGTAAAATGAATGCAAGTGAACTGTTTTTTTAATTTGATTAGAAGTAATGAATGTAGACTAAAGTCTTAAATGTTGATGGTCGAGAACAACAGCCGACGATGATTGGCGAGCAACTATGGCGATGGCGATAGTGATTGCAGACGGTGGTGCCAGGAGGAGGAGGGGGCCAGCCGCGGTGGCCAATAGTGGCTGGCAACAGGTGATGGTCAAGCAAGCTTATGCTATAAACAATTTTCACTCAAAATAAAAAAAAAATTAATTTACACTCAAAATGAACTACTTCACTTTACATTACATTTACTAAAATTTACTTTAAATCATTTTGTATTCCAACCAAACACCAAAATTTATAAAATTATTGCATTTGAAATACTTTACACTTTTAGTAATCCAGCCAAACATAATTTCTCCTATTTGCAAGTATACAGGGTCACTGGCGTGGCAACGAAGGTTGCTTGCTCTCTAATTTGGCTTTTAAATCTATAAACAACATATATAAAATGCACATGTAAAAATTGAAGTTCTGAAAAATATGCTTTACTTGGAAAATTGATGAAAATTCATCAAAATGAATGTTTATGTAGTTGTGTGGCCTATTATTTTTATGCAAAACTACATTGCTTTCAACTTTGAACACTTTGCTACAACTATGTTCTGAGACATGAATGGTTCAAATAAATTATATTGTAGAAATACAGATCAGTGCAATGTGAGATGATCATGGAGAGAACAAATTGCTTGGTTCAGAAGAACTCACCAGATTATTGTGGAATGTATGATAATGCAGAGTGTTTTAGGCTTCGTTTGGGACGGCTTTTTTATTGCTTTCTAAAACGGAGTTTTAGTACAAATTTTTTTATTTTTTACTAAAATTCCGTTTTAGAAAGCAATAAAAAAGCCGTCCCAAACGAAGCTTTAGTTAACTCAAGAGTGAGATGGCCGCAGGAACTTTGAGAATGTGGCACAAAACTGAAAGGACACTATAAAAATTGATAAACAAGAACAAGACATTTTTAGGATTGGATATATTGCGTATATCATAATTTACAATGGCATTATTGGAGAATAGACCATTCTAACTGAAGAAATAGAGGAAAATTTGGCTTATACATACATTTCTGATTCATCAGTTATTCCCCTTTCAGGAGGGTCCAAGGAGCTCGCAGAAGGCCAGAATGACTTGGATTCATCAGAGGGACTAAAAGCATCATAGTCTTCTTCTTCTTCTTCCTCCTCCTCGGCTTCATCATCATCAAACTCGTCATCACTATCATATCTGCTAGCCTCACTAGCATCGACGACCACATCGGCATAACCATTTGATCTGGACTCATATTCGCCATTTGCTTCACCTCCATCGGTGTTGATTTCATTATCAAAACTTCTAAGATAAACTTCGTCATTCTCATCCTACGAGGAAGCATGTAAGAATGGAGTAAATTAACTAATAAACAAAATGAGAGACAATAAACAGAAACAAATAGCCAGAGGGAGGAAAAGATATGATACTATAATGTGAGGTTTTGATCTACTTAACTATACTTTCACGTTTAGAACTAGAAATGACTTAGTGCGATGGCATATAAAGTTCAACAGAACTTCAGGTCATATTCATGTTTATGCTGCCTTTCAATAGAAATAGATAAATTGGCAGTTGTAAAATGCCATTGTTGTACTAACACATGGATATCTCCTGAACTTAATCAGGATTCCACTGTTAATCATTTCTCTGCATTTTCTACAGTTTTATCATATGCTGCTGTGTACTTTTCATGTCATTCCACCGCTTATAAGAGGAAATACAATGGGCTACTGATTGGGACTATTTAAGCTCTATATTTAAAAGAGTAACTGGGAAAGTGTAAGAGTGCAAGTCATACTTCATTTACCTTGTGGTGGAAGTTGTGCACTCATTTCCAAGTCTCTTATCCCTAATGCAGCCTCTTGGGATAACCTACTTATCAGGGCCTTTGATAAATCTTAGATTGCCTAAGGTTTCGTTTAGGACGGCTTTCTTATTGCTTCTTAAAGCAACTTTTTAACACAAAAATTTTATTTTTTGCGCTAAAAAACTGCTTTAAGAAGCAGTAAAAAAGCCATCCCAAACAAGCCTAAATCGTGTTCCCCACCCACACAGTAGCATAAGCCATAAACTGAGCAAAGCAACCTATTATCCTCCCCCATACAGATATTCATTACATGCTTCTTGTGTTGATGTATATGTAGTAATCTTTAAATAAAATGGCACACATTTTCTTCAGTAACATGAATCACAAGTATGATAGTCTACTTAGAATGATTGAAATTCTCCTCAATTTCCAAATCTCTAAGTAAACCATCATACAAGACTTTTGGTGAATTGTAGCTTAATTCATCCCTAATTTATTTTTTTCAGACCTTTAGAAGACATTTGAGAAGTGCCTAAGACTTCTAATGAATCCAAACTGAAGGTAAAATTTTTTAATGCATTGCCTGAATAAATCAGGCAGTTATTAAGGAATAGAGAAGCTAGTTCCTTACAATGGTAAAATTCAGAGGCTGAATTATAGCTTTAAGATAGAGAGGTTAGTTTGCTGCAAAGAAAAAAATAAATGCACTGGCTTGTAGATTTATTATAATTGAAGTTATCAGGTATATACAGAAAATGGTGATTTTTTTAGTCAATAAACCATAATATTTTCTTCTGAGAGATGGTGCAGAAGCCGTATGGGAGCATCATTAGAGTTTCTGGCATATCATAAAACTGTACTGAGTATCATTTTAGAAAAAATTTCCTACTAGAGTCTTTATATATTTACCTCATTTTCTTCCTCTTCACTACTATATGCCAGATCAAGCTTGCTGTACAATTCATCATCACCTTCGCCTTTGACATCTTCCATTTTATCCTTTGGAAATGTGTAACATTAGTGAGAACATAAGCAGAAAAAAAATGCAAAACATTAGAATGCTGACATATATACAAAACAAAGAAGTGTTTGTAGATAAAAGACGAGAACCGCTTGTCCCATAGAGGTCTCTCATCATACAAAAAGCAAGCTCTGAATTTCAAACGAAGATTTGGCACATACCAATTCAGCCTTCAACTTCTCAACCTTGTTGATCAAGTTTGAGATATGGCGGTTAAGAGCCTAATTCAGACAAGAATTGAAAAGTATTAGCAATGTACAAATCGACTCTTGCTATGATTGATGAGCAAAGAGTAGAAAATGCCATGAAACAGCAGCTAAAGGTTGCTTACTGCATTTAATCAACCAAAATTTCTTTGCACGAATGAAATTTTACCTCATGACGCTGGAGTTCTATGGAACGAGCTAAGGCTTTCCTCTTCGTAAGGAGATTTTTTGGCCGGAGCGTAGGAGGTCGATGATAGTCCTTTCCACGAAAGACAACAATTGCATAACCCTTGGATATCTTGTCCACAGAAACCAAAACTCCTCCACTCTCAGCTTCAAGTGATAATGCAGTGTGCTTAACTTGTGTAAAAGTTTTGGCTTTCACAAGGACCTTCACCAACTCTCTATACTTCCAATGCAGGTGCATGTTCTCTACTGTCCCATCAAAAACTCCTCTCCTTCCTGAAACCAAAGAATGTTTGGAGATTACAGTGAACGATCATAAGGACAAATTTCCTTCTTTTTTTGTTTTCATGCAAAAATATCTCACCACACCCTAAACATATGTGTATATATATGCATAAGAAGAGCACCCTTGGTGACTTGGATAAGGATTCAGAGCAATTTACCTTTGACAAATACCCCTAAAAGAATTCTAACGGTTACTTAAATCCCCATGGTTAATTAGTTAAAGGTACTCTTTTGGATAGGGAGATTGAAGGGGAAATTGGATCCTAACATTTTTTGCTGCCTTCTTAGCTAATATTAAACAAAAAAAAAAAAATCAGTATAATATTAGAATATAGCTTAGATCAAAGATCAAACTAATTACTTGACTATGATCATTTATCTAAAGTAATAGATCAGCACAAAACTGGCTCATGAAACTGAAGATTTGAATTCATAAAAAAGAAACATCTCAACTAGTAAAAAACCATGCAACTTGAGAATAAGGCAGCAGATTGATATGCAAAGAGGGTGAACCAAAGAAATAGACAATCTATGTCAGAATGCAAGACTGACATTCAAGCAAATTATTGGTTTTGTGATGACATTGTTTGAATCAGAGCCCACAAGGGAAGACACTCATACATACAAGGAGCAAGAAGGACTTCATTGAAGTGCATGCTATGATAAGTTTTCTAGAGTTACCAAGGAGCAAGAAGGCCTTCATTCTCAGCCCAAGTTTGCGAAACATGAACCTTTCTTCTTCAGTTATGCTTTCTGTGTCTGCTTTACGTTCTACAGGTCTCAAGGATTCCTCCACCTTGGCTAAAGCTCTTTCAGCTCTCATTACCTTACGTTCAGCCTGTACTAGTCAATTGGAAAAATAAACATCTTAATTGAGAGTCTCTAAAAAATATTATCTGCACATCACAAATAACATACAAATTATATTGTTAGTATAGGATAAATTTGATTATTTAGTCTAATTCTGGATCATATATTATAGATAGAGGTGAAATGGTCAAGTAATAATTAGATTATGAGATTATGATTGGAAGGAAAATTTTGATATTTTGCATCCTAATGAAGGATAGGTAATAATCTAAGGATTACCTATATAGGATGAGATACATAGAATCTATAACTCTAGCAAAAAATAACCACTTTTATTATATCATAAAAACAACAAGCAAACTTCTTTTACTCAAAATAATAATTAAATTATCATCCAAATTTAAAATTTCACAAGTAAAAAATACCAAATAACCATAAATTTTCAACAAGGATGGAGTTTCACACGATGAAAAAAAAAATCTAGTGTGCATTAAATTTTCAATCATGCACAGGAACCAACCATTAAACAACTGAAAAAAAGAACAACAACATCAAGCCTTTGTCCCACTATGTGGGGTCGGCTACATGAATCCTTTTTTGCCATTGTGTCCGGTTAAAAGTCAAATTCTCATTTAAATTTAATAAAGAAAGAAACTGAAAAAAAAAAACAATGATAAATATTAGCCAAAAAAATTAAAGCCCAAAACTAGCACAACGAGAACCGCCCCCAAAAGTAATTATCAACACCAGTGAAGTGCTCGAAGAATATATATTCAAGCAGTACATACAATAATTAAGAAAACTAAAAATTTAATTTTAATAATCACTATTCAATATTTTTACAAACATCAAGGGTCTTCTATATAGCCCACAAAAATCACAACATAAAAAACTCCTCCGAGTCCTTATTCAAGTCACAAATTATAAGTTTCAATTATCCTAGCCATAAATAGTAAAGAATCAGCCCCCTGCTTCAAAAATTTCAAACTCATTAATTAAAAGTAAAATCAAGAGGCAAGAGAGAAATTTGCTACAGTAATCAACAACAAGTGAGAGCTCCAGATTACAGCAATAAATGAATGTTACATTTAATTAGGGTTAGATGGACAATTGAATTGTGATGGTGTTATAAATATAAAAATATATAATATTATTTAAATGACATATATATATATATATATATATATATATATTCACTCAATTATTTAAAAAAATTACATCAACATGTAATAGATATGAATGCTACATTTTGAAGACAACTTCATGATTTAAATTTCTAATCAGACACGTACAAAACCATTTTTTTTCTAGAATATAAATGAGCTACTAACCTATTTTGCCATCAAGGCAACTGAAAATATTCTGGCAATCAAATAAATAATATTTCATGACTCAAAAGAAGAAAGTGAGAAAGTTTCAATTGATTAAGGGGTTGTTTGATTTGCTAAAAAAGAATGCATAATAAAAGGAATGTGTGAGAGAGAGAGAGAGAAAGCATTGTTGAAAGGTAAATATAAAGAGAATGAAGAGAAAGAAAGAAATTAAGAGAGTCCAAAAGAGAAAGGAATAGGAACATGAAAGAAGAGAGAAATTGGGAGAGAGAAATTACTTGAGAGAGAGATTGAAGAGATAAGGGCTTAAGAGAGAGCACTGAGTATATGATATAGAAAAGAGGTAAGAGAGAAGAAGCAAAATATGTGTGTGTGGGAGAGTGGGAGAGAAAACGGCAAGGAGAGAGCGGAATACCATGGGGATGCTAGAGAAAAATAATGCATTATCATTTCATCCCATTACAATAAGCCTTAGGGTTTTATTTTTAAGAAAAGAAGACCCAAGAGAAAAGTTAAAATAATATTCTAAACATACTAAAAAACATTGCCCTTGAAGAGATAAATTCAAAATAAAATTTGATTAAAATATTTTTTTAATGCATCGTGTAAGAAAGAAGATAGACATAATAGACTCGCCATCAATATCAAAGGTTGATTTGCCCTGATCAGATGATCCCCAACAATTTTCCTAGGATGCGAAGAACTCTCTGAAGAATTATACTGAAGGTTTATACTGATTAAGCAAGTTAGGAGTAATTTGCTATTTAAGCTCATCTCTGAAATAACATTTAAATTTCCCAAATCTACAAAACATCACAAGTTATCTATCCTAAATTATACAATAAAAAAAAGAAACTATAAACAAACACAACAAGGAAAATTTCATAAACATATAATTACGCTGTAGAAGAATTGTTCCATCTATAAAGTCATTTCATATACACTACTTGGTTACTTGCAATATGTATATCATCATTCATTAAGACTATTTTGATAAATTGTTGAGTGTCAGATTCTTACAAGATAAAGTTTCTTCTCAAGCTTCCTCACAATGTCAGCATGCCTTGCCGCTTCTGCAGCTTTAATCATCTTTTTCTCATAGTCATTATCCAGTTTCTTTCCCCATCTGGCATCTGCTTCTTGCGTCTCTCCAAGGGTACCGGCAGTGCCTTGCTCTTCAGTCATTTCAAGTGTCTTGGCGTTTGAGAGAACTGAAGAAGATGCCCTTATTCTTGCCTGTTCCTCATCATCTTGCAGGTTCTTCGCTAATCTTTCTCTCTCAACCAACGCCTCACTTACTTCCGCGGATAAGAAATCTTTCCCTCTATAAAAGACAATATAATCCTTGTTCCTAGAAAGAATTACACCCCCTGTTAAGCTCTGCAATTAAAGGCATGATGATTAGCATTAATAACAAATGGGCATAAACATATTAAAAAATTGTTAGATTAACCTAAGCCAAGAAAAAGTAAATAAGTAGGAGCTCAGAAAGATAAAAAATGCAATAGAACATTCAGTTTGTACAAATACTCATAAGATGTCATAAGTTAAAAGGTTTTGTATGTCTTTGCATACATGAAATCATAAATACAACCCGGATAATTAGTATTTTAAGATATGTTATGACTGATAGCAGAATCATTCCCTGAAGATAAGTGCCCAGATGCAGCCTCCTTAAATGAAAAATAATTAATGCATCTTAATTGACTTTTCCAAAGGATAGTTGCTGAAAAAAAATATATACTAGATTGAGCTACAGAGATATATTTCATGGATCGGAACATAGTTTTTATACACAAGCAAATTGATAGGAAATAGTTGAGTTCGCAAGTAACCCTAAGGGGAATACTTGAGTTCGCAAGCAATCCTAACAATAATTGGTAAAAACAGTGGGGAAACACAAGAACTTTGATGAACAAAACTCTCCAAAAAAGTAAATTGCACTATAGGAAGTAAAACAAGACAAGAACAAAGCAAAGATACAAGTGATCCTCAATTTGAGAGGAGGATCATTCTCTCCCAATCTCTAGACAAGGAATCTAGAGCCCAAAACACCCAAAAAGCCGCAAGAGAAACAATATTCAAGCATACCCTCACCCTTCCCCTTCATACCTATTTATAACCCTCAGCCCTAGCCATAACTGTCCCTCCCCTCATTTTTTTTAAATTAAATCAAATAGGCGTGGCCCCCTGTGCTAGGCAGCAACACAAGGGAGGCGGTTTGAACCGCCTCCTGTAAACCAATGCCGGCCCAGGTGGGGCCGGCTGGGTCGGTTCTAGATGAACCGACCTTTCAAAGGTCAGTTCTGGATAAACTGACCTATCACAAATATCCTGATGTGCAAGAAACAAATATATTTCAATGGCTTCAGCTGGAAAAGGCAAAAGAGAGACAAGGGGGAACATTACAACTAGCAGGAATACATCAGGTACAGGGGACTGAAAGCCGGTATTCAGAATGGAGTATGAAAATGTCACTAGGACTTTTAATAAAATGAAAATGAATTCCAACATGCTAAGAGGAAAATATTTTACCTTTATTTCTGAAGCAATTCTTTCGCTAGTAGTTAGTTGCACTCCTCGTTTCAAAGCAATCTTTGCTATACAACTTTTTTCCCACAATTTTTCCATAGCAGTAGCTAACCCTTGATGCTGCCTGCTTCTGCCTATTTAGAGACAAAAAAATCCATTTATGAGGCCTATGCTGTAAAGAGAGGGAAATTATGAAAATGAGGTATACTTACCGAGGGCGAAATGAGGAGGAAGCATTCTTGCCAGCCTCCTTAATGCAGTACCTTCCTTTAGTCCAAGAGTAGGCCTAACTCCATAAGGAAGAATTCTGAATGGAGGTTTAAAGCCCGGTACAATGGCAGGAAGCAAATCAGCATCCACAGGTAGTGGATCATTTCCAGGCCAATCTGTGTATCTTGGGCCAAGACTATCTAACAGCTTATCCATCTCATCTTCGTATTTGATTTCGGCAGACAGCCCAGTGTTATTTTTCTTCTCAAAAGTAGTCAAATACTCGCCCTCAACTTGCACATCAATGCTTTTTACGTTATAATCTTGCACATCAATGCTTTTTGCACGATCATCTTGCAAATCAATGGTTTTCACATTATCTGTTAAAATGCCTGTATGCTTGAAGGTATTGTGTGAAGTATCATAAGTATTTGGTAAGCTATGATATTTCTTTTTCACTGTTTTAGGGTTCTCATAGCTTACTCCTCTATATAGTGAAACAGATGTTCCAGATCTCCATATCACCAGCCCTCCTGTTTTTCTCTGATCATTGTCAGGTGGAATACAGCAACAATTAGCTTTAAATTTAAAAAAAGAAGCAGAATAAGAAATGCAGAATTATCCAGAAAACTTAAAATGATGGTTTGGAAAGAAACAAAAATGCAAGGCATGTACGGGCTAATTTAGGATTTAGAGCTATCAACTAAAGTATGAATATATATATATAGATAGTTATATATATATATATAAATGAGAGAGAGAAGGCACAGAAGGCTCCCAATCTCAATGATAGATTCGAACAATTTTCCTACTCAAATTCTAGCAGTCCAAAAGTTTTTCTCACACCATTCAACAATTTATCATTACTAGAAATCCATGCCATTAAACTTAAACATTTACTGAATTTAAGCAGCTTGGTTTTCCAAATTATTGAGATCCTTAATACATTTTGGTTTAAAGGTACCGTGCACTTAATCACTATCCTTTGGCCCTAATTACTCAGTATTCGTTGTTTCCTTCCCTAGCATGTTTAATAAGCTCCCTACAACTGATTGTTCACCCTCAAGAAAAGATAGCTCTACGGCATGAACCCTGCTTTCACAAGCTTATAGATCCCATTTTTTCCGAGGTAGATTGAATTTTGAATTTAACCAGATTTTTCCTGAGGGTAGTGTCAAGGTTTATTTAGTTATAAGATTCAACTTCCTATGAGCGCAAGCCCTCATAGTTAATTACCCCTTTTAAAGCGTATAAGAGCACTCTCAATTAAGGATGAAACGTATATGTAGCTATGTAACAAGTGTAGAAGTATGCAAGTGTTTTAACCCTAGTTATAGGGGGATGAGAGTATACTTGATCAAGATCTCATGGTTCCGTCGTCCCGAGTATACCGTAAGTTTCAGTTTACCAACACTAACAACAATTGATTGTAATGTCTAGATAATCTGATTAGCAATCATGGGTTGCCTCCTTTCAGGGATCCCGAGTAAACTGAAATGGTTAAATGTTGGTTTTAGAATGGTTATGGTTTGGGGCTCATGTCTATTAGATTGTTTGTTAATTTGTTTAGTTTGGGAATTACAATTCCTATTAGGAGTTGCCCATATGTTTAGATTTGGAACCGGGGCTTACAAGTTTCATTGAAAGTGGCCTGTGTAGTGGGTCTTATTGCTTCCCTTGGAAGTAGCCCGTATAGCAGGTCTTACGACCTCTATTTAGAGGTTGCCTAAGTAGCGGGTCTTACAACCTAGCCCTATAGGCTTAGCTGCCCATTAGGGGGAAGTTTAGGATTAGGTTGCTACCTAGAGATTTCACCTATAATAGGACTTATGACTTCTATTAGAAGTTGTCAATCAAATTTGAGGTATTTATCACTTTACTTAACATATATACTAATGAGGTAGTTGCCAATATGATTCACTACTTCTATAAAAAGTAACCTATAGGGCTTAGGAATTGATATGACGAAGTATTTTAGCATGCTTTTCAATGCTTTCATAGGAATTGATCTTCATGGATAATATAATCTTTTTTATAAAAAAATAGATCATTTAGATTGTAAGGATTGTAAAATTATTTGAAGTAAAAATTCATGTAACCAGCGTCATTTATTAGTTTTGCACTTTAAGATAAAAATAAAAAATAATGTAAAAATATTATCCCAGGATTAAATGGGGGTATTTAAAGAATGTTAATAAAAATATTTTTTAAAATAAGATTCAATATTTTAATATTTGAGTTGTTTATTAGGAAGCTAATGTTATATAAAAATAAGTAGCTTCTGATATTAAGAATAATAAAATATGTGTGCTTGTAGAATCAAAAGTAAAAAAATCTAATAGTAAAAATAGTTGATGATGAAATAAAAATTTACAAGAAAAGATAAAAAATAAAAACTTTGATGTAAAAGTTGATTTATATGTAAAAGCTCGAAAAATTAGAAAAAATATAGAGAAGCCAATAGGGATTCTAAGAAAGCAATATATGATGTAAAAAAATATATTTTTAGTAATTTATATAATAGATTAGATACTAAGGATGACGAAAGACATATGTAAAAGTTAATATAATAAAGAGATAGGAAAGTAAATATTTAGTTCAAGTGAATTACATTAAGGATGAAGATCAAAAAATATTTTTATTATAAGAGGATATCAACATAGGTGGATGAGATTTTTGATAAACTTTTCAATAAAGATTGTAAATATACGATTAAATTTAGTGATCTTAGCACCCTAAATGGTAATACATATTTTTATTTTTATATTCATATTAGTAAAATCGAAATTGAAGGCTTTAAAGAAAATGAAGTGCAAAAATGCAATAGAATATGATGATATTCTAATAGAAGTGTGAAAATGCTTAGGACATCAAAGAATTTCAAGGATTAATAAACTTTTTCAATAATATTTTGAAGACTAAAGGTGACATATGAATGGAGAAGTACGTTAATTCTTATTTTTAAGAATAAAGGTGATGCATAAGAGTGTACTAATTATAGAAGAATTCAATTAATATGTCATGCATTAAATTATAGGAATGTAATTGAGAATGGGTTATGATGTGATATTAATGTTTCTTATAATCAATTTGGATTCATGCCGAGTAGATATAATATGGAAGTTATCCAATTGTTGAGAGATTTGATGGAAAAGTATAGTGAGAGCAATAAGGATTTATATATGATATTTATTAATTTAAAGAAAACATATGATAAAGTTCCAAGATAAGAGCTCTGGATGGACCTAGAAAAGAAATAAGTTAATAATACTTATATTTAATTCATTAAGGATATGTATATATGAGCTGTTATGTTCAAACACAAGGTGGTTTGATCAAGTATTTTTCCATTTCAGTTGGATTACATCAAGGATCAACTTTAAGCTCATATCTTTTTGTTACAGTCATGAATGTTCTTACAAGACATTTGCAAGAGGATGTAACTTGGTGTATGCTTTTTGCTGATGATATTCTTCTTATTGATAAAACTGTAGAGGGAGTTAATAAAAAACTTGAATTATGGAGGTCAACCTTAGAGTCTAAAGATTTTCATTTGAGTATATCTTAAATCGAATATATTGAGTGAAATTTTAGAAGTAATAAATCTCGTGGTTGGATTGTGACATTGAGTGATTAAGTCATTAAAAAAGGTGCTCATTTTGAATATCTTGGGCCTATTGTTCAAAGCAATGATGAAATAGATTGGGATATTATTAGTAAAATTAAAGTTGGACGGTTGAAGTGAATGAATGCATCGAGTTTGTTGTGTGATAGAAAAGTACGCCTCAAAGTTAAGGAAAAATTTAATAAGATGGTGATTAGACTTGCAATGCTTTATGGCAAAAAATGTTGGTAATTAAAAGAGAAGCATAAAATTAAGTTAAGTGTTGCATAGATGATAATGCTCTTGTGGATAAGTGGCTTAACACTTAGGAGTTATTTGGTTGGAGGAAAAGAAAATGTAAAGCATTGTGAATGCTTTACTTTTTTATTTTTTAGTATTTGGCCGGACACTTGAGTGAAGCAAAGTAAATTCCCACTGTATTTGGAACTCCCCGCCTTAGTTCATTTTGCAGGAAGATCTTGCTTCGCATGAGGAGTCGCTTCTTTGACTCCTTCATTGTTCGACTTCGCACGTAGGAAGATCCTGCTTCTCCTGACCATCCAACTATTCCCACATTCTCCTGTCTCTGCTTTGATTTAAACAACGGTCACTACAACCGCTTTTTCCCTGTTCGTCCTAACGACCCTGAGTACACTCCATTTCGATTCAAGTGATTTTACTTTACTCTGCATTCATCCAACCAAAACAGTTCCTTGTATTCACTTTACAACCAACCAAACAGGCTCAAACTATTTATTTTATGCCGCATTTAGTTTACAGCAAACCAAACAGCCCCTTGGAGACAAAATGCGTGAGTATATGTGTGAAAATGTTGGAGTAGCTCCAGTGGCAGATAAGATTAGAGAGAGTTGCCTTATATGGTTTGGTCACATAAAATGTCGGCCTTTCAATGATCCTATTTAGAGAGTAGATGTATGAGATACGACCTATATTAAGAAAAGTTGAGGTAGACTTAAAAAGATTTGGTTAGAAAGTATTAAAAAAAAACTTTTTTTTATTATATTTAAATGAGAATTTGACTCTTAATATGATACAATGGACAAAAAAAGATTGATATAGCCAATCCCATGTCATGGGATAAAGGCTTTTTGTTATTGTTGGATAATATACTCTTTTTGGATGTACTTTCATTAGACATGTGAATACATAGTATTTTGCATGGGTTTGTACATGGCTATAAGAAATGCATGGAAAATGATGGGTATCATTGCATCTTATCATGGAGGAAATCAAAATGTTAGATTTAAAAAAAAAAAAAAAAAGATCTTGCAAAAAGGAAAAAGAATATTAAAAGAGAAGCAATTAATATTGATTTCATGATAAAATTAGATATTTAATAAGTTAAAAACTATAAATCCTATGTTTTATTATGATTCAAGATTGTTGATAAGGATATGGCTACAAATCTTTTTTGGGCCGATGGATGGCTCATATTGGCATGTCAATATTTTTTAGATAGAGTTGCATTTGTTACACCTCATATGAATAAATATTTTAGCATGCCTTTTTGTTGCTTTTGTAAGAGTAAATCATTATAAATAATCTATTCTTTTTGGAAGTGCTTTAATTAGACATGAGACTATAGGAACTTTTGCATGGGGTTTCTTGACATAGCAACAAGCAATACATAGAAAATACTCTAACCCATTGATAACAAAACAAGATCCAACAATGAAGGCCATTTCAGAAGTTAGACATATTGTCCATTATTTTTATCCATGGTATATTTACCCAAAAACAAAGAAGCAGATGGTACTTTATTTCCTACAAGACAAAGATTTAAGCAAAAATTTTACTTTTACCATTGATCAAATTAAAGAAGGGTGGATTGAAATGATTCCAAAATATCATTTACAAGATAATTCTAATCTCAATTACTTGCACCATAATCAACATTATATTATACCTACATTTTTATACCGGGCATATGAATTGGCTTTATGACTACAACACAAAGAAGTGAGAATACCAATGCAGTATTCAAGCTAATTTTGACTGCCAAAAATATAATTATGAATTTGCTCAAAAATGGGAGAAGGAACTAGAAGTAGAGCAGATGCAAATTAAAAAAAAAAAAAAGATGACTCTGAAAATTGTCATTGTCAACCTTCCTCATGGTCCACGTACCAGTAGAGAAGCATGGCGTGGAGGTTTACAACATTGTTATGTTTAAGAAATTTTGATAACATTTGAAACACAAACAATTTTGATTTTGAAAGTGGGCAACAACATGAATTAAATGAAATTATTCAAGCGATAAATCCTAATAGCCGTTTGGTAAGACAAAAACTATATTTCATTAAAATTGATGTTCCTTTGCCAGAGTTTTTTTGCACCTGCAAAATGTATGAGTTCAATGATAAATTATGCGCCCATAGTCATTATGCACTATTACATCATAGAATCCATTAAATTCCTTGTCATTACATAAATGATGGACAAAAGTTACAAAAGATGGTCATCTGAATAATGGCTGCACTTTAAAAAATGCAGCCATCTCCTCCAAAAGTTTGAGATCCAATACAGTTTGTAGAAAATTAATGAAGCTTGTCATAGAATGCTCTTGTCATAATGATGTTTAAATCTTATCATTAGGGCCGGAGCCTTTCTCTAACTCTCTTAAGTTAGAGAAAATTAATTAAACAAGATAGAAAATCCACATGTTATGCAATTGAAACTGGATAATCGCTATTTTCTTCGGAATTTACAATCAAAATTAGAGGAAAATCTTAATCTTCAAAAAGAAAGAAAATCAAACCTCCAATATCTCATGCATGCGCTTCATATTGAGGGCTGGCGCCCCCTCACATTTGAGCCTCACCACCTCTTGAGTCTGCCACTTCTCTCGAATAGCATCAACAATCTCATGGGTCACACCCGCACCACCAATCTTAGTTTTAGACTTTTCTCTTATAGCCAAATGCCTCAACCTCCTCAGCTCCCCTTGAGGAAGCGTCAGCTCCGCCAATATAGTCTTACTTTTCTTCTTCCGCACAGAGTTCCCACCATTATCATCCCCCTCCATGCCGCCCCGACGCTTCTCCCACGGAAACCGAACTTCCTCGTTCAAATCCAACGACAACCCACCTCTAGAATTGGGCAGAATCCCATCCTCAGCATAGAAGATGTCCTCTACTGACCCCTTCTCGGGCAAAGGCTGCTCCTTTATCTCACTAGTGTCATCCATATACCCAAATTTCTTGAGCTTCTCCACGATCTTCGACATTGTGCTGCTTCCAGTGCTCGCGCTGGTGCCGAACTCCTCGTCGTCGCTGGACAGGCCGCTTCGGTAATCAAGGGCGGCTCGTGGCCGCTTAGGGATGAGGCGGTAGCGGGATTCTTCGCCCCAGCTTTTGATCCAGGTGGGGCTGGCCGTGGAATCGTCATCCGGAAGAGGAATTTTTGCAGGGTTTGTGAGGGAGATTCGAGGTTTAGCGTCAGGTTTTCGGCTGCAGATGGAAGAGTGGTTGAATGAATAAAGAGGCCATTGTTTGATGTTCAAGGTAGAGGAAGATTGGAGGCGGCGTAGGTGGGCGAATCGGCAAGAAAAAGAGGAGTGCAGTGAGTCGAACAAGATTGTTTGCTGGAATTGGAATGCGGTTTTTATAAAAAATTTAGTTTACGAAATATTTTTACTAAAAAGTTGCTTTAAAAAATCAATAAACAAGCTATCTAAATTAAGCTTTCTTTTTTTACTCCCAAATGAAGCCTTAATTAAATATCTTGCCTTTTTTTTCAAATGAAGACTGAAAATTAGACGATGAATCTTATAATTGATAAATTTAATTGTGTTTCAAGTGATACATTTTGTTTGATCACTAATAAAATAAATTTGTTTGATTTAGCACAAATTTGATTGGTTTATTGTTCTAATTAAATTAATTAAAATATTATTTTCGTTAAAAGTGATTTTAAATTTTATTTGGATGACAACTTAGGCTACATAATTTTATTAGGTTATCATTGTACTTAATTTAGTCTCCTTAGGCCATTGAATATTATCATTATGGTGCATGATTTCAGATATTCAACAAAAGGATCAACCCAATTCGAGATTATTTGTTAAACTTTCATCATCTCTACTTTCATTATTGGGTGAGTTAGTTCTATGATTGATCTTTTATCTGGATTTCGGTTTTAAAAAAGCATATTAATGAGTTTGTATTAATATCTATGAATGTGCTAAATTTTGAAGTAGTTAATTTTTTTTTTTATCCTAGCTTTAGCTTTGAATAGATATCTTGGAAGGATTTCTTCTTTGGCTCCATATTATTCATTTATCTAATTCATAATGAGCTTAGAATCGAAGAATACTGTCAAACACTTTACTCAAGCACCAACAACAAACCTTAAGCCAACAAATTCTACTTGGTTATTTGTGATTTAAAAGAAAATTTTGTCGGGAATAAAAAATATAACTCCAACTATTATTCTAAGAAACATCCCAATTTGACTCCTTCAACACCATAGGCTTTGTCAACCTACAAATCCAAAGCAAATTATTTTTTGTAGTCATCTCTTCTTCTATGTTGGCTAATGTGAAGTTGTGAAAAAGTTAGCTAAGGCATGCTCCTTAATGGTAGTCCTTAGCTTATATATGATATGAAATTTATTGACTTGAAAGACTATTTAAGAAGTTGTAAGGAGTAATTTTGCTTCGGTAGGATCGACTTAAGTGGAGTAATGAATTGAATAGAATAAGCTTGAAAATATGGTCAAAGTCATCAAGCTGTGATAACCAAGGTTCATGCTAATTTTTTCATGATTATGTAACACAATTTGGCTCCATGAAAAACTTTATTAATATAATAAATCAGATATTATGTCCTCATTTATTCTTAGTCTAGAATAAAGCTCACAATCTTCTCTCCAACTCTAAGATATAAAAGCAACCTTCTCTAGGCTATGGGTTTTGAAGTAATTTTGGCAAGGAGAGAAGTCGGTCGCTACTAAAAGCTCTCTCACATTTTTATTCCAATCCAAGTGATTAAAACTTCTTAGGATTTTGAAGAACGATGAGTATTTATCACACAACCTAGATATGAAACGACTCATTAAGCAATCTGATTAGTCAATCTTTTTTCTTCTTAATTTCACATTCTTTTTAGATGATATGTCCAAACTAGCTTTGACTTTCTTTGGATCCATCTTAATGCCTTTTAGGGTAAGCAAGACATCCAAAATTTTGCTTAATCTAGCTCCATAAGTGTGTTTCAAAGGATTAAGTCTCATATTGAATTTCCTTGAGAGTTATGAAAGTTTCTTCAAGTCATGAACATGCTATATATTTTGAAGTTTTACTCTTCACAAACAATTCATCAACATAGACCTCAAAATTTCATCATTTTTTTTAATCTCAGAAGGCATGATCCATCATCATTTAATAAGTCAAACCTCTATTTTTCAAACCATAGAGCATCACTTTATAGTGATAAAATCAACTCCAACGAAAAATATGTATTTTTTCACAATTTGCATGGCACATCTTTATTTGATGGTATCTAGAAAAAATATCAAAAATATTCATTACTAGATAATTAACTGCCTAGTGACTAGAGCATTAATTCTTAGAAGTGGATACCTTTCTTTGGACAAGCTGAATTCACTTTGGTAAAGTCAATTATATCATTTATTTATATTTGATTTTTAAATCATTGTTATATTTGAAATCCATTATGAGTATTGAATTTCTTTAATGAATCTAGCCTCTAGCTAAAAGCTTTTGGCCATCACTGCAAATTAGTGTAGCTTGCATTATAGTAACTGGCCTAATTTCTTGTTTAATTAGCCTTATTTTTCTATTGACGCTTAACTTATGATAGACAACATTGATGTTGACACCTAGCATTTTGTTAGTCAATCAAGCAAATAACTCCATATTCTTTTCGAGAGTTGTAATCAAGCCGCATCTTCTTTCTTTGTCATAACCCATGATAACAAAAATTGTAGTTTTAGTTCTCTTTAAAAAACTTCCTCTACGACCTTAGAAATTTTTAGCCTTGATAATTTTTTAATAATTAGTTAAAGGATTTCATCCTTTATATTTTTCGCTGCTTTTATAACACGCACTTAGTTGTGCCAAGTTGCAACAATTGTTACTACTTGATCTCATGCCAAAAACTTTGTAGTGATATGAGAAATATAGATGTGTACTATGAAGATGTTATACAATGGTTGGTTATAGGTGGAGTTATAAGTAGTTGACACGTCAATTATGATGAAGTTGATAATTACAATCAATTGTATCTCTCTTTCTCCCCAAGTTATCTACAAAATAATTATTTATTTTATCTCCCTTCACTGTCCAAAGAAACCAAAGAGAGGACCATCAATTAGAGTTAGGTGAGAAGCATCAAGATTCATCTTCTCAATGATGCTTTTGAACATAATGTTGACTGAATTCCTTTTACAATCAGAATGCTATTGATTTGATTGTCTATAATAAAAATTGTGTCAATTGTAGCATCATTATAGGGATTTCCATTCAATGGCTAATCAACTTCAATAAAAATGATATGCAACACTTCAACACTAGATTCTCTTGAGGTACTTGTCGAGTTCACCTCTCCTAAACAAAGTCATTTGAGACTAGCTTGGCGATAAGCCTTTGCTCCTGCTCCACCATGAATTATCGAAATCACTCTAGTGATTTGAATCACCAAGACCAAGGCTAGATCATTTCATGTTTCCTCCATTGTGCTTTATCTGATCTTCTTCCAACATTGACAAGGACACCTTCTCTTGATTTACCTACCTTGATCAACTCCTCAACCACGAGATGTTAACACTCATCTATATCATATTATCAATCTCTATAAAAAGCATAACATTAAGTAATCATAAAAATGGCCATTAGCATTGGTAATTTGAAGTAGTCTTTATTTTTGATGGCCTGTATAAGCTTGACCATCAAAACTCTCAACGAGGTTACAATTAGGAAATGATGAATTAGAGTTGGAATCCTCTCTCTTTTGGTCATTTTGATGGTTAGCATCTCGTACTTGTCTTTAAAAATGATGAGGTTGGTGATACTACATATTTCTTATATAATCATTATATGACTCAACCTTTCCTTTTATCGCTTGGAAAGATTAATTTATCTCTAAGAAATTGTTTGAATAAATTAAGCTTCTCCTCTTCATCTAGTGAATGAGTTACTGTTGTCACAATTATATTCTTTAGTATTTATATAATTATTAGCAGCTTAAGCAACTCAGTTAAATTTCTTGAATGTCATAAATTGAATGTGCAACTGAAAGGTCCTTCATGAAGGCCTTGATGAGGGTGGCTTTAGCCATAAGTAGCACTAAATCTTTGCAGCTATCATACTAATCAAAATAAATGTTTTAAACAATCTCTGATAATTTAGTTATATTATGAAATAGTGCACTTCTGTTCAGTGGTATATTTCGCTTTAGTATTTTGTTAAATTTTGAAATGAGTTTATTTATATTTCATTTACTGCAATACAATAAATTATATGCTTACTTAATTGAAATACTTTATTCATATGAGATCAGGTGTGGGTGGAGGAAGTTCTATTCTAGTGCTATATGCACATTCTATTCTCATGATGGGCATTGAGAGTCATAAAAGTATTTTTTTTATGTCATGTGATACTTTCAGGTTCAACATGTGGTTCTACTTGTTCTGACCTGATTTAAAAAATATAAATTTTAATTTTTTGAGTTTTGAATTCATTTGCATGTCTTTGAGAATATTTTAATGCTTAAAAATGATTGTGAGAGGTCTAGAATTAGTGATTGGTGTCAATTTTGACAAAATTTGAGAAATATCACAAGTGGGGCTCTTCGACTTTGCTACAATATCAGACATCAAATAGTGACATTATAGCTCTTCCGGCACGGGTTTTTGAGTTTTGAACTAGCGCCACAGTACTCAGATTGTAGCGTCGTGGTGCTAAGCCATTAAGAGCCGCACTTTAAATTGAAATTAAATCCATTATGCTATTCATTTTGATCGAGCAACCGATTGAGCAAGAGAGAGAAAGAAAGAGGTTTGGAGAGGGAAAAGAGGGATTTTGAGTCGCATAAAGTCATTTTTAGCCGTCGGGGCGGTTTGGAAAAGTTGTCCAAGTTAAGGTAGGTTATATTGTGCCTATCTTAAATTTTAAAAATAAAAAGTTTTTTTTTCAAATTTCTTTTTATTAAATTTATATTTCTGTTGTCAAATAACATGGATAACTTTGCGACTGTAAAATTATTACGGCAAACTTTTTATGTGTTATAAAAACTGATATTATAAAAATTCTGAATATTAAAAAAAAACCCAAAATTTTAGAAATTATGCAATTTTTATGGAGTAGAAAATTATATGGACACTTAAAAAAGTGTTGTAGTACAATTAATGTCTTAAAATAATATTTTTTGTTATATTCTAAAATTATAAAATTGTACTTGATAGAAATTTCTATTGCTTATGTAGAAAACTGTGTAATTTTGACACATGCTAAATTATGCTTTAACTGTTACAATGTGATGAAATATATGTTTATATGATTGAAAAATATCTACTGTGAGATATAAGAGGCCAAAATTCTTTGAATTCTGTCTGTGTTAAGGAATATTCTAGTGTATTTA